ATACCCATGCTCCTCACTGATCCTCTTCCTTTGAGGGATGAGTTTGAAGTCTGTGTTATGATGACATGGCTCACCTATGACTAGATTCTCTGTCATGAGGGATGGCAAGGAAATCACACAACTTTGCTTTATATGAGGTTTAAAAAGAATGTTTTTCTTTTACTAGGGAGAGGGGAAAGCATTGGCACATTCTGGTAGCAGGAGGGCATTGATAGTTTTCTTTTGATATATTTTTCACATCAGATAGTACTGCCTGGCAGCCTGCCACCCCTCCCCAGTGTTTCTTAAGCTTCTCTCTGAAGGTGAGGTGTGATTCGGAGTGGATAAGCTCTTAAAGGAGTGATCTTTCCAGTGGTTCTTTCTGTGGGAGGTAAAATGGCAGGTGAATTTGGCCTTGTTACACGTCGAGCTGAGCATATAGCTACAGCTGAGTAAACCACCCAGCACCTTCCCCAGAAGAGTGTTAGCCAGAGTAACACACCGATCTCTCTTGAGCTCTTCTCCTCTGGCAGCTGGAAGGTTTTTGCAAGGATCCTTGTTCCTGGTCTGATTCCTATGTTTTGCTGGCTTCTGATGATAAGTTGTTTTATCCTAACCTGAACAGTTTTAACTGCAGAGCTAGAGAGGCTGTGTTGTGTTCAACAAAATCAGTACAATAGTTCCTCCTTAAATGTAGGAGATACATTTCAAGACTCCCAGTAAATGCCTAAAACCACAAATAGCACTGAATCACATACCATTTTTTCTACACATATATATCTATGATAGTATTTAATTTATAAATTAGGCACAGTAAGAAATTAACAATAACTCATAATAAAATATATCGTTATGGTTCTCATCCTTTTTCTTGTGATGATGTGAAGTGATACAATGCCTGTGTAATGAGACGAAGTGAGGTGAATAGGCAGGCGTTGTAACGCAGTGTTAGGCCACTATGCTCCCCCTGAATCTAAGTCAGAAAAAAGATCATGAGCTGTGAGTGACCTTGGATCTTCAGGCCTTAATGATGTTGATGGCTGGCAACAGGAGACTGTGTTGATGACTAATGGGTGAACAGCATATGCAGTGTGGATGTACCCAACAAAGGGATAATTCACATCCTGGTCTGGATGGAGGGGGCTCAAGGTTTCATTCTCAGAATGGTACACTAAAACTTACGTTTATTTCTTAAGTTTTCCATGTGATATTTTTGGAATACAGTTGACTATTAGCTGCAACCACAGACATAAAAACTGCGAATGTAAAATCTATGTTTGAACGTTGACTCAGTTCTTGGTGTACAATCCTTAAAATCGTTAGAGATTCCAAACTGATGTCTTTTTGTATGCTAATGATTGATGGCTGGAAGCCCCTACATAGATTCAGGATGGCAACTGGTCATTAACGTGAAGACATTGATTAGAGGGTTGGGATCTTCTGTCTCTCTGCAGACTCTAGGGCAAAGAGAAAGCCTGAAGGTATTCAGTGACCAACGGCCAGTGATTCACTTAATCAGTGGTGCATATGTAACAAGGCTTTCATAAAGACCAAAGGGACTGGGCTGAGAGCTTCCAGTTCACTGAATACATGGAGGCTCCTGGAGGACGGTGTGTCCTGGGAGGGCATGGAATCTTTGTCCCACTTCCCCCACACTTTGCACGGTGCATCTCTTCATCTGTACCTTTTGTAATGTCATTCATAGCAAACTGGTAAATGTGTTCCCCGAGTACTTTGAGTCATTCCAGCAATTCAATTTAACCCAAAGAGGGAGTCCTGGGAACCGCAATTGAACCCCAAATTGAAGCCGGCTGGTCAGAAGTTCTGGAGTTTCAGACTTAGGACTGATGTAGGGAGGGAGTTTCCTGGGACTGAGCCCTTTACCTGTGGAATCTGATGCTATCTGCAGATAGAGTATGAGAACTGAATTAGATGACACCCAGCTTGTGTCACCTGCAGAAATGATCGCTTGCTTGGTGGTGGGGAAAAACCCTCCACACGTTTGATCACTGAAGACTTCTTTGTTGATGATTGTTTCTGTGGTGTGAGACCATAGGAAAACGTGGCAAGTGTGTCTTTTCCACACATGTCATGGATAAGGGAACTACTATATAGTCTGTTTTAGCTGCCCTTCATATTTTGGTTCAGAATCATGCTCTTTGACACTGGTCACTCATCACACCTGTTGTGATAACAGTACCATTTTTAGTCTCATATGGTTTGTCTGAGATGACTTGTATACTGCAGTTCACTTGTAGATATCAAATTTTGATAAATTTATTCTTTGCATTTAATAAATCACATACCAGTATGTATAATTTACATTAATTCTAATAAGGTCTCACGTGAGCTCCCAAAGGAATGCTTTGTAACAAAGCATCAGTCCTATAGTTTAAAGAAAAATGGTCTAAAGCATGCACGCAAGTGTGCATAATTTTTTTAATGAAGGTAGAGTCTTGCTATGTTTTCCAAACTGGTCTCAAACTTCTGGGTTTCTCAAGTGATCCTCCTGCCTCAGTCTCCCAAGTAGTTGAGATTACATATATAGCAGGGGATTCTCTGTACTCTTTTAGGACAAAGGAAAGCACTGGGAACTTATTAAGTGGTTTTCATGCTGAGGAATCAAGACTGCCATTTTGAAGTGACACAGATTAGTCTTTTAATCAGAGACAGATAATGGACAAGAGACAGTGGATCTTTCTACCTTGTTTTAGGTCATAAGGTTCCTTGCAGTTTAGGTGACAAAAGTTATGTCATCCATTAATTGAATTTCATGTCCTGCTTTAGGACAGATAATTTGTGAGGGCAAATTGTTGTCAAGCACTGCGAATATAGTGGCTGTCACTTTTTGTTATGGAGCTCAGGGTCAGTTTTCATTGAATATTTTATAGATTTAGATGGAGGCAGAAATAGGTAACGAAAATCTATTTTTAGAACAGAGGCCATATTTTAATTGTATCGAGAAATGTTATTTAATATACAGATGGCTGACCTTTTCGGAGATTGTGTTTTTGTTTCTTGGAGGGGGAAGCTGAATATGAACTGGCAGTTAAAAAATTTGTAAAAAAAAAAAAAAATCAACTTGCTCATTTTTATTATATATTTTTGCTCTACAGCATTTTCCACGAACTGTGTGTGGATTCATGCCCGAAACCAGATGATGACGACTTGACTGTTACTACCAAGGTAAAGTGGTCTCTTGTAAAATTTTCTCTCAACTTTTGCATAGTATTTACTTTTAAAATTTAGCGGTGGTTTAGTTACGGAAAGTTGGTCAGAGAAAACCATAGACATCTGGCTAGTTGATTAAAAAATTTTATTTAACATTGGTAACTAACAAAAGATTGATTAGTACTGTGACAGGGTGAGGGCTGAACAAAAATGAAGTGGAAGATACACAGCAACAGAAAAATCACATTAGGAAATGCTTTCTCCAATAGAGAAAATATGAAATTTGGTTAAGTTTTAATTAGACAAATATTAATACTTTGACTTTTAAGTCATACTAGTGTGACATCTGTTTTTTGCCAGTGTAAACCTTCAGTGGAACAAATTACTTGTGGTAATCATGGAATCTCCCTGGCACCTTTTAGTTGAAAATCTGTGCAACAAATAGCATATAGCTGTTTTTCTTGGGTGTTATATACTTGGTAGGAGAGATTGTTCCTCTACTTATATTATTGTATATATTATATACAGTAGTCTCTGCTATTGTAAACAGGGCCACAATGAACATACATGTGCATGTATCTTTATGTTAGAATGATTTATAATCCTTTGAGTATATACCCAGTAATGGGATAGCTGGGTCAAATGGTATTTCTAGGTCTATATCATTGAGGAATTGCCAGACTGTCTTCCACAGTGGCTGGACTAAGTTACACTCCTGCCAGCAGTGTAAATGTGTTCCTATTTGTCCACATCCTCTCCAGCATCTGTCGTCTCCTGATTTAATGATCGTCATTCTAACTGCATGCGTGACATGGTATCTCACTGTGATTTTGATTTGCATTTCTCTCATGACCAGTGATGAGCTTTTTTTCATGTTTGTTGGCTGCATATAAATGTCTTCTTTTGAGAAGCATCTGTTCATATCCTTTGCCCACTTTTTGATTGGGTTGTATTTTCTGGTAAATTTAATTTTTTTCTAGATTCTGGATATTAGCCCTTTGTCAGATGGGTAGATTGCAAAAATTTTTCCCCGTTCTGTTCGTTGCCAGTTCACTCTAATGATTGTTTCTTTTGCTGTGCAGAAGCTCTTAAGTTTAATTACAACCCACTTGTCTATTTTGGCTTTTGTTGCCATTGCTTTTGGTGTTTTAGTCATGAAGTTCTTGCCTATGCCTATGTCCTGAATGGTATTGCCTAGGTTTTCTTCTAGGGTTTTTATGGTGTTAGGTCTTATGTTTAAATATTTAATCCATCTGGAGTTAATTTGTGTATGTATAAGGTGTAAGGAAGGGATGCAGTTTGAGCTTTCTGCAGATGGCCAGCTAGTTTTCCCAACACCATTTATTAAATAGACAATCCCTTCCCCATTGCTTTTGTCAGGTTTGCGAAAGATCAGATGGTTGTAGATGTGTGGCGTTACTTCTGAGGCCTCTCTTCTATTCCACTGGACAGAGCGAAAGCCTGTCTCCAAAAAAACAAAAAGATGATGTATATTAGGGTGAAAGAAAGATTCTTCAAATAATCCCCAATAAGATGTTGACAATGGGCAGAAAAAGATGTATAAAAAGAAAACCACAGGGTGGCTGGGCATAGTGGCTCACACCTGTAATCCCAGTACTTCGGGAAGCAGATGTGGGTGCATCACCTGAGGTCAGGAGTTCAAGACCAGCCTTGCCAACATGGCAAAACCCTGTCTCTACTAAAAATACAAAAATTAGCCAGGCATGATGGCACATGCCTGTAATCCTAGCTACCTGGAAGACTGAAGCAGGAGAATCATTTGAACCCAGGAGGCAGAGGTTGTAGTGAGCTGAGATCGCGCCACTACCCTCCAGCCTGGGAGACAGAGATTCCATCTCAAAAAGAAAAGACCAGAAGGAGGCAAACTAAAATGGTGACAGTGGTTGCCTCTGGGTGTTTCCTTACTACTAATCCACACTTTTTTTTAACCCACGTTTCCTATGCTGAGACAGTATTATTTTTCTAAGGAGTGGGGGACAGGAGGGGAACAAAGTCAATAATAACTATACCTAATATTTAAAAAAACGAAATCTGTCAGATTGAACATGATGTCTAGGCAAGAAATAAAAACCCAAATCTGAAGCTAAAGTAAGAGCAGTCCAGTGTATGGCTGTCCCAGGCCAAGCCTTCCGCAGAGATTTAAGCTGCTCATGGCTCATGTGTTTATCACATTCAAGGTGATGGACTTGGGGGACAGAGTTGGTGTCTCTGAGACTACATGGCCAGCACAGGCAGATTCAAGACAACTCTGCAGAACAGTGAAGGAGAGAGAAGTCAAGTGGGGAGCTCGGCATGTTCATTCATTCGTTCATTTCCCTACCACCTCCCTGAGGTCTTGGGGACCCAGCCTTACCCTGTGATCCACCAGAAGGTGATCCTGGACAGGAAGGAGGCGCTGGACTCCGGGCAAGGATTCTAGTGGAAAGAAAGAACAGGTTAGGGAGGAAGAGGGAAAGGAACGATTCAACTTTTCATCCAGGCCAGAGCTTGGCAAGGAGTAGTCAGCTGCCCATTCTTGCCTTCAAAAGGACCAGTGTCCACTCCATACCATTCTGCACCCCGAAAGGATTCCTCCTAAGCCCCAGGAGAAAGAAACTCATAGCAGCTCCTCTTGTTTTACTCAACAGAGTGTCCAGGCACAACCACAATACAATAAGCTATCAACGTGCCTTATCTTCTATCCCCGCAGCAACCCTAGGAGCTGGTGTTAACCATCATCCCCACTTCACTCATTCAACAAATATTTTCTGAGCACCTACTATGTGCTAGGTACTCTACAAGGTACTACAGGGTTACCTTAGATCCCCACGACAACCTCATAAGCTGGTATTACTATTGTCTCCATTTTCCTCATTCAGGCATTGAATATTTATTGACCACCTACTATGAGCTAGACATGCTACCAAGAACTTATATACTTGCATTATTTTATATCCTCATGGAATTCTATAAACATGGTATTACTATTATCTCCATTTCATTCATTAATCCAACAAATATTTCCTGAGCACCATCCATGTATCAAGTACCCTGCATACAAATCTAAACAAACAGAAATGGCCCCTGCCTGTATGGAGCTTGTGGTCCACTGCAGTAATCATCAGTAATACCTGCCAAGATTCTCTACTATTAATAGCGAGCTCTGTTCTTAGTGTTTTACACAAATTACCCTATTTAATCTTCATCCCCACCTCACAAGGTAGGTTAAAGTATTCTATCATCCCTATTTTGCAGTTAAAACAAACTGGGGACCAGAGATGAAATGATTTGTTTAAGGTCCCACAGCTAAAAGTGGTAGAGACAGGACGTGAGCCCCAAACAGTCAGGCTCCAGAGAGAGACATGCATCAAATGATTACACGAACAAATGCAAAACTGCGACTTCTGGGCCTTGATATGTGTCCTAAAAGTAGAGAAATATTACCAGTGAGACAAAGTCAGCACACGGGGGCTGATCTTGCGTACCAAGGTCAGAGAAGGCTCCCCCGAGGAAGACAGTCAAGCTAGTGCCTGAAAGATGAGTAGAGGAGAACTAAATGACGAGGAAAGGCAAGGCATTCCCAGCAGACAACAGCATGTGCAAAGGCCTGGTGGTAAAAGGAAGTATGGCAGACTCCAGGAACCAAGAGGGGGCCTGAGCAGTCTACACTGAAGGCCACATATTTTGGTATTCATTCTAAGGGCAAGGGAAAGTACTGAGAGACTCTAAGCAAGCTATCAAAGAACTTACTTTCCAGAGGCACAAAGATGAGCCCCAACTCAACTTATAGGCAAGGAAAGGGACTGATACAGAGTCCTAGGATGACAGACCAAGCCTGGCTTTCAATACAGATGCATTGAGGTCAAAATTAGGAAACATAAGCTTTAAGCAGGAGAGGGATGAAAGGTTGCCATGTAGCAATGAGAGCTTTAGCCAAGGACTCCTCTCAAAGTTCCAGCCTTGTGCAGAGGTAAGGTATTTACAGAACCCAGTAAGGCAACATACTCTCCTCAAGTGGTTTTCCATCCAAGGCTGGATGTGCTTTTTAAAAAAATACTGTATCCTGGTGGGGTGTGGTGGTTCACACCTGTAATCTCAGCACTTTGGGAGGCCAAGGCCGGTGGATCACTTGAGGTTAGGAGTTGGAGAACAGCCTGGCCAGCATGGCAAAACCCCATTTCTACTAAAAATGCAAAAATTACCTGAGAGTTATGGCTCACGACTACAGTCCCAGCTACTCAGGAGGCAGAGGTTGCAGTGAGCTGAGATCCCACATCTTCACTCCAGCCTGGAGACCCTGTCTGTATCTGGGTCCTATCCCCATCAGGGGGATTAAGCTGGTTTGGAGTGCGACTAGGGCACTGAAACTTTGTTTTTGTTTCAAACGTCCACATTCTTCTTGCAAAAGTTGCTGGGCAGGAAATACGCAAGATAAGCCAAGAACATCTTGTCACACTGGACAACAAGGAAACTAAGCATAAACAGGATTGTTAGAAGGCCCAGGAGCCAACCAGAAGTGGCACTGCAGGCTAAAAAAGGGACAGTTTGAGCTCTGACAAGGAGAGTAAGTGCAATGAGCTGAAACATAGCATGTATGGTTTTTTTGAAACCAAGTCTTGCTCTGTCTCCCAGGCTGGAGTGCAGTGGCGTGATCTTGGCTCACTGCAACCTCCGTCTCCTGGGTTCAAGTGATCCTCCCACCTCGGCCTTCCAAGTAGCTGGGGCTACAAGCATCAGCCACGACACTAGGCTAATTTTTGTATTTTTAGTAGAGACGGGGTTTCACCCTGTTGATAACCAGGCTGGTCTTGAACTCCTGACCACAAGTGATCCACCCGCCTCGGCCTCCCAAAGTGCTGGGATTACAGGCGTGGCCACTGTGCCCAGCCGCTGATGCCTTTCATTAAGATAGTAAATAGCATTTTCGGAGGAACAATATGAAATAAATCTTAGACATGCTGAATTTAGAATACTTTTAGACATCCAAGTAGAGATGTCCTGTAGGCAATTAGGTATTAGCAGACAGAGTCTCAACAGCAGAATTTGGGGTAGAGATGAAAATGTTGGATTTACCCATGAGTGATGCCATGGACATGGCTGTGACTGCTTAGGGAAAGAAGAATGACAGAGGGCCTAGGGCTGATTGGTGGAACATTTAATGGCCAAATACAGGAGAATAAGCCAGCCAAAAAAAAAAAAGAGAGAGTGGTAGGAGGAAAATGAAGAACATGTCATGAACCATTAAGCAAGAGGAAAGAGCATCTCAAGAGTAAGAAGTCACTTTGGAGGTTGAAGTGTAGCTGAGGAGCACTGGGGCGGGGGGACATGAATTGTGTGTAATTCTCAGCAAGTCGGTTGTTACTCCACCTCTTTCTGGCTGATCTGACATAGGCAGCAACCCAACAGAAAACCAATGCTTCTGAGAATGGCTGCAGGTTTTTATGTGCTGTCTTTTGAGGTTAGAAATCAAGCCTGAGCTCTTCTTTCTCCTGATTCTCAGGAAGGAAGAATGCAGATGTGAGAACACTGATTGATTGGGTGTGTCACTGGGCAGCATCACTGTTAAAAGGTCAGCACACAAATGCAAGCTCACTTTTCTCCTTCTTCCATGTGACTAAAGTGGTTGACAAGGTTGTCACTCCCTCCTGTACCCACCACTGTGAGGGATAGCCAGGTCCAAACCTACTGCTTGGGCAGAAGAGGACAGGGCAGGTGTCCAAGGCCAGATCAGCAGTCAGCCAGGGCAAATGGGCTGGCTCTGGTTATATGACCCCAGGAAACTGACAGAAAGGAGTGAAATTCGGGGAAGATCTCGGTGTGTTTGAGAACTGGGGAGATAAAAAGGTTTCATCTCATGGTCTGCTTTAGTTTGAAACAATTTAACTAGATTCCAAAACACCAGCATTTCCACATGAACCAGTTTAACTCACTCCAGTCTTCTACCCTGGAGTTTGCTGCCCAAGTTCCAGTTAAGAATAAAATACACAATCCTTTTGTATTAACTATTTGCACTGATAAATGGAAAACAAATCTTTCTTTCTCCCATGGACCCTATAAACTAGAAAACAGTGGCTATAGATTGGAGACAATTCTGGTATTCCAGGGATTCCTGACCAGAATAATTTGAAATTACCCTAATTTCTCAATTACTAGTACCACACACATAAATTGCATCACACACACACACACACACACACACACACACACACACACACACACACACACACAGAGGCAGGCTTACCTACCTCTGAGAAAACTGCACAGATTCAACAAGAACAAATAGCAATTAGTGTGTTCCTTTATGGCTAGTGAATAATAATGTTAACTAAAACAAAAACAAGTATTATTTTTAAATCCACTATTGCCCGCCACCGAATATTTAAATCATGAAGTCTAAACTGACAGAACAGCAAATTAATACAGTCCTTTGGGAGGGAAATCTGGTGGTACATGTTAGAAACCAATCCTGTTATTTATTGCTTTTTTTTTTTTTTTTTTAAATGACAAAATGATTACAAAAGTTTCGTAAATCATAGTATATTCTTACAATGAATACTATGTAAACACTAAAAATGAGATGCTTGTGTGAGAACTAGCTTTGAAGGAGACACAAGGTATTTACAAATTATTATATTGAATGATAGCTAGTATTTGTGGAACACCTGTGTACTAGGGCTGTGCTGACTGATTGTACACCTGCTGTTTAATTTTATAATAACCTTACAAGGGAGGTGGCATGCTAACCTCATTTAACAAATAAAATGGGCCGGGCACGGTGGCTCAAGCCTGTAATCCCAGCACTTTGGGAGGCCGAGGCAGGTGGATCACGAGGTCAAGAGATCGAGACCATCCTGGTCAACACGGTGAAACCCCGTCTCTACTAAAACTACAAAAAATTAGCTGGGCAGGGTGGCGCGTGCCTGTAATCCCAGCTACTCAGGAGGCTGAGGCAGGAGAATTGCCTGAACCCAGGAGGCGGAGGTTGCGGTGAGCCGAGATCGCGCCATTGCACTCCAGCCTGGGTAACAAGAGCGAAACTCCGTCTAAGTAAAAAAAAAAAAAAAAACCAAATAAAATGGAAGCAGAGGCTTAAGTTTATTTTTATTTTTACTTTTTCACGACAGGGTTTCACCATGTTGGTCAGGCTGGTCTTGAACTCCCGACCTCAGGTGATCCGTCCGCCTTGGCCTCCAAAGTGCTTGGATTACAGGCGTGAGCCACCACGCCCGGCCAGGCTTAAGTTTATTATCTAATATCACTGAGGGAGGACATAGTAGAATCAGGATTTAAAACCATGAAACCTTGATTTCAGGACGTTATACTTCCACTCACTGTGCTAGTTTGTCATAAAGTATACATACTTTTGAATAAATTATTTAATATGCATCAATGTTATACATTTCTTAATATATAGCAATGTACATAAAACATCAACA